AGTAGCTAAATCCTTGGAAAAATTTCCTAAGCTTTCTGCAAAGTATCTTAATTTTCCCTAAAATAAGGATATAAAACCTATCACAAAGGGTTACTGTGAGGATTGATTAAAACTGCCCTTCACATAGCAAGTGCCTAACAAGTGTACGCTATAAATGGAGCTTTTATCATGCCTGTAGAATACATGAAGAAGTGAGCCATAATGAACTCCCTATGAAAATCTTCATCATGCCCAAGGGATTCCATCTTAACATCAGGATGCAAACCTTTACACGCATGCAGCTGTTCTGGACATCGAGAATGCATGCACAATCCATAATCACACAACTTGTGCAACCTGCCATGCAAGCCACCTCCTTCCAAGTCATGTACCCCAGAGGACATACGCGTCTATGCACAAAGAACTAGCTGCCTCTTAAGTATTTCCACTTTCCATAAATTTACAATTAATATTATTCCTGATCTTGAAAATAAGCTGTGAACCAAAGCAAATCGCCTTAAAAACAGATTTTTCTTAATGAGAAGATTTACTCTAAGTTCCTAACAGCCAACTTCTTTCCTTGGCTCTTGTGAGAAATTACAGAGCATCTTCCCCTGGCAAGACCTGCACCATGACTTGCTGATACATGACTGAGAACACTTTTGTGTTTAATTAGGACAATAACACAAGTCAAGGGAAAGCCTCATTTAAGCTTTCCGTTTGTTTCCTTGCCACGCTTACTGCAAGGTGGCATGCTGATTGGCATCTACACAAAGCGCCGGGGTTAGTGACATGCCTGCTCAAGGCCTGGGCAGTCTTCACCCTCCCATTTTCCTTGATGCACCCCTAAACATCAACGTACACTTGTGTTCTCTCTTTTCCTTTAAGGTCAGCAATATAAGGTCTTTTAATAAGCTCCTTCCTCTACCTGTGCTGTTGCTCTGCTATTCTTTCTCTTTGGCTTTACTTGCTTGAGCTGTTTTTCTTTGGGGGACATTCACCCATGGTCCTAGCAAGAATTTTCATTGTCTTTTTCCACACATGCTATCTTTTAGTTATTAGGCAAAATAAAGGTATATTACACCACTTCTCAATAAAATGCCTATGAGTTAATGGAATTTTACTATGGAGGAAAAATCAAAGTCACCAATTTCACATTAAAATAAAATATCAACTCCTCCAATTCTCTATTTGTTATGTATTATTATACAAAAAACGTAAGAGATAAAATGATGTAAAAAGGCAATTATAATGTAAAATCAAATTCCATCTTTTCATGCACAATAGGTAACAGATGGAAATAACAAAGCATGGTATTGCTTAACTGCAAATCTGTTTCCTGCCCTGATTGATGTCCTTCATCCTGATGCCTCTACCCTAGGGGGAAAAAACAGAATAAGCTCATATCTTTGGCATTTTCCAAGCTAGTCCAGACAGACAACCTGTTAGTAAGATCAGCAGCAGCACTAGAGGAGCTCAGGAGCTCATGGTATACCTGGTCATGAGTTCAAGCGAGTCATCATAGCAGGTTCTTAACCAGAGTGAGATGGGGAACTAAAGCAGCTGTCATTCATTAATAACTACCAAGGGACACCAAAGCCCTCTGTCTTGTCAGTATTGTCTTAAAGCACTTCTTCTTCTTTTTTTTTTTTTTTTTTTTTTTTTTTTTTTTTAACTATACAGTTCAGGCCGGCCTTGAACTCACTTTGTAGCCCAAATTGGCCTCAGACTTGCTGAGATCTTCCCAAATTAGCCTCCTGAGTGCTGGGATTACAGGTCTACACCACCATGCCTGTCTTTGCTTTCCTAAATTTCGTTGGCATCTTTCTTTACCTTTGGAATTCTCTGACCAGAAGTTTCCCGCTTATCAATTCTGACAGTGAGTTGCATACACTAGATTCTCCTAAATAATCTACAATCTCAGTTCTCAAATCTGGTTTAGATATTCAATCACTAGACAAACACCAGATACACATAGGAAATCTCACAACCCAACAAATAAACGATAAGACTCTTCTATTTGTCCTCCTTTTCCCCATTTATTTCTCCTTTTTCTGCTCTTAATTTTTTTACATGCTCCATTTTGTAAATGTAAAACTCCAGCCATTTAAAATACCATGGGCTTCAGTCAAGGAGCTTTGAAGATCATGGTCCTCCTCTCGGTTTACCATAGACAGGACTCAGGACTTCGGGCAAGGAAGGCCTCATATTGAGTTTCCAACATTCTTCAATTATCTTGAGTTGTTTCTCATTGGTCCACATTCTATTAGTGAAGTTTCAGGGGGAACAATGGAGGCCATATAGAGGATAGAGGAAATGCTGCAAATTGCTGAGAACTTCTTTGGTAAGATTGAGAAATCAAACCTCATTTACTAATTTTTAAAATTAATAAATATGTAATAATTACATGCTATTTGGTATGCATAGTCTACAGACATGTACACACACTTAGATCATCCATCACTTTTATATTTTTGAGTGTTTCTTCTATACCAGATACATTTTTATGTTCACTAAATTCAATAAATTCTAGATATGCATGTAGCTCCTATACCAAAGGAATAGTTATGTTTCATTGTTTCTTTAATAGGCATTTTTATTTCTCGAAAATCTAAGGAAGTAGTTGGATATTTCTACTCTTTCTATAAGCAATAAATGGATAAAATTTACTTGGGCTATCTGCTCTCCAATTGGTCTTACCCCCAATGACCCCTTGTGTGTGTTAATCTGTTGTTGTCTAGCGGTAAGCTTTAAACTGGGTAAGGTGGGACTTGTAGAGGCATCAAGGTAAAGAGAACACCAAGGTAGGATCCTGAAATCTTGAACTTTGCCTTTATTCATCATGGCCCAAATACCGCATATCTTGACCCATTAGGAACCAAATGTAACACACTAGAAAGACATATCACATAGGGCCTGAGGCAAGTATTTTCAAAAATAGTTGTTTGCTCTCTGAAATAGTCTGTACAAAGGCAACCAACCTGTCCAGGTTATTTATTTTTTTAAAAATGTTACGAAAAATGGAGCACTGCAGTTAATTCAAACTTGTTATAGGCCAAGTAACACAAAGGGGGTTTGCTTCAGTCTTCACTGCCGTTTTCTTAAGAAGAGCACAATTTTGTTAAAATTAATAAGTAAGAAACTAAACAATAGCAACAGAAAACAAAACAAGAATCTGTAGGCAAGATATGAAATGTGGAAACAGTGAGATATGAATAAGAAATGCTGAACGACTCAGCAGGACCATTATCTACTTGTTTATTAAGTTTTCCAGTGTACTAGATTGATCTGAAGATAACAGAATGTTTATGAAGCATGAAGTGTTTCCTAAGCTTTCAATTAAAATGAAATAAAATAAAATGCAGGATGTGTGCTCAGCGTAGGAAATCTCATTAGGGCACTGGTCATCACCGGCAGCCACGGCTTCATTACCTCGTGCTGTTGTCTCAGTGAGCTGCGCACTGGCTCAGCTCAGGCTTGACTCTAAGTGATGCAGCTTTTCAGGAGCCTGCTGTTGATTTCCCAGGGTACAGCACAAGACAGTGATCTCCTAAGACAAAGGGCAGCACTCTGATCTCCACTTTTCAGAGAAAGAAAATTAAGTACATCAAACTGGTTTTCCATGGAATCCACTATAAATCTGAGTAGAATATAAAACTCAGAGCACTTAAAGCATTTGGATATTCTGTGCTTGTCTTTTGGTGTTTTCTTTTTTGAACTCTCTGAGGAGAGCAAAGAAAAGAAGGGAACATTAAATGAAAGAGAGGAAGCAAAGAACAAAACAGGGAGTGGATCAGGTCAGTGGCATGCGTTCAGGTAGCTCATTGCCTGAGAGCATTGGGCGAAGCACAGTGAAGCAGGGAGCAGTGACAGCCCATGGGGTGCTCAGTCATTCTCCTGGGAGCCAAACAAGGGAATCAACAGAGTTCAGTTTCTCAGGCCCAGGATCAAAATGACACCAAGTTAAAGCAGCCCAAAGAGAAGGCATGGTTAGCTTTATAATGACTTTATTAGTTTTGAGGATTTTGTGTGTGTGTGCATGTGTGCATGCGTGCATGCGTGTGTGTGTGTGTGTGTGTGTGTGTGTGTGTGTGTGTATTGTGTGTGCATGCATGTGCATGGGTCAGAGTGTACACATCTTACTAAGATACATACAAGAACTACTCATTTTTTGGTGTCAATTTGCTCTTCCCAGTTATCTGGAAGCATGAATTAAACTAGAATCATTTCTAGGGAGATTCTTGTGACATGTAAAAAAGTCCTATTTTTGGACAGTTTTCTCCACTCCATGAAAGACCACTGGAAACTCACACCCAACAGTAAAATGTACACATGAATGGTGCACATTTATAACCAAAATCACTCCAAAAAGGCAGATCCAGGAACCAAAGAAAGTCTACATTTCACATGTTTTCTAGTTTTTCCTAGTATCAAGGTAAGATTACTTTTCTGTTACTTCATAAAAGTGAGGAGTTTAAAATAATGCAGTTTCTATCTATGAGACCAAACTGGATCTCCTCTTCCTCTGAAAATCTTTTTCCTCACTGTGTTTATGAAGCACACAGGTGGTTCAGCACTAAGATAGACCCACTGAAAGGAAGCAGTTGTGTGCTGGCATCAGTGCACCAGTGAGTAGCTACAGGACCACAGGCACACCATTCACCTTGGATTAGGACTCTAGTGACCACAAAGACCCCCTACTCCCTAGCAGGTGAGGCTTTAGCAGAAGGCAGATCATGGCTCGGGTCCATGGTGCATGGTTTAGGTTCTACCACTTTATAGTACTGAGCTTAGGCCAGTTGATGAGTCACTTTCTGTCTTAATTTTCTCAACTGTGGAAGTATAGAAAGCTCATGGTTTTTGAAGATTAAATGAGATAACGATTCAGAGTTTAAAATAGCACCTGGCCTATATTATGCACTCAGTGATTTCATGCTATTATTATTAGGACAATGAGTCAGCATCTCAAATAGTAGTAATTTGCTGTGCCCAAGGGTATCTGTAGCCATCCACTTCACTAACAGACTGATACGGTACGTAGTGACTTGGTACAATCAGCGCTGGAGGTAGGTTTGGGAAGAAGTGTCTGACTGATGGCTGTTGTGTTATTTTTCTTTCTTTTATAACCCATAACCAGTACTTACTGGAGAAATATGTATCCACAAATTGCAATCACAGTGAGTTAGAAAGGAAGTTGTTATTTAAGGCTAGCCCGTAGATTGGCATTTTGTAGTGATCACATTGAAAAAAAAAAAAAAGTTAGAAAGGTTTGCCTTGCTGTACCAGACCTATTCAAGGTTAGGTAGGGACAGCTTTTTAAAAAACAAAACCCAAGATATTTTGATCTTTAAAGTGCTTTAGGTTTAGTGAGCTATATCAAAAGTACTCAGAACTGAAACAGTTGTGCCTTAAGAAGTCAGTTTATATCTGCATGTGTAAGGGCATCAAACTATATTTCTATTATATTGGGTCAAATATGAACAAATCATAGATAATATTGTTGAACTGATAATTTCTTTAGAAGGTTATTCTAGGAAGGGAGGTTTATTGGAGGTATGGAAATTTTCAGGCAATCTTTGTTTTCTTAATACAAATTGTGTACAAGCACTCAAAAGAAATGCATGGGGATGGAGAATTCTCAAAGAATAGAAAAGAAAAAAGACAACATGAATGTCATAAACAGAATTTCAGCAAAAAGGGAGGGCTTTACCAAGGAAAATGTAGGAAGTATACCAGCTTCTACATTAACACTGAAATGTGGCTCACATTTCAGTCTGTGTTTTATCCTATAGATAATAATCATACATTAGAATGTTCCACATAAGGAAGAAATGAACTGAAATGAACATCAAACTGAACTATCAGTACTTGATCTTGTTTCTCCTAAAGAGAGGGCAGTTTCATATGGTTCAATCTTAAGCCTCAAAATCAACCTGCTAGTTGGATAAGGGACAGGGAAGTAGATGAGAGGCTAAATCTCTTATTCAGAGGAAAAAAAATCTCATGGGCCTTGATAAAAGTAAGTACTTTGGAAAGAGAGAAGAGTGAATTTTAATGAATTTTTTTATCTTATTGGGAAAACAAAATATTTAGTTTCATTGGAGGGTATAATTATTATGCCTCTGCTCTGATCTTTAAATTTCAGACTATAAAGCCTCTGCAGAACATCCAGCAGACCTTGTTAAGATGAGCTTAGTTTTGTAGACTAGGACTGTTGATGTTGAATTTGATAGGTGAATGCAAAATGCATGGACAAAGTATTGAGAATGGTATCCAGGCTCCTTACCAAAGCTCTTTATTGGGTTTGGAAAAATACTGTAGTTCTAAGGAAATCACAGCTTTTAGAGATATTTTTGCTGCTGAACATTCCATACTAGAAAAGGAAAATACTGCTCAGTATATAAGAGTTTATGTAACTTCATCTTTGTAATTCTCAAATTTATGCATTCTATAAACATGAATATATAATTGATACAATGGGAATATATAGCTACTTAACATTTGTCAATGTCTAAAAACAATTTGGAGATTAGGGAATAGTGAATTTTTGAATCGTTTTAACCCATTCCTAATTTTGCAATTGTATTACACAGTGCAAGGAAAAGTCATCAACAAATGTATACCTAGTAAAGTTATTACTCATCATTTTGAGTAAAGGCAGTGTTAGTAGATCTTAAAACTATTAAAACAATTACTTATGTTTGTATCTCCTTTTAATGATTCTATACTAGTGCTTGTATGTTTTGGAGACATGAAAAATGTTTTAAAATAAATATGTTCAGAACATTTTGAAGACCATTGCAAGGTTATAATGAAGTTTGAAAATATTTCCTCTCCTAAGATTGTTTACTCCAGCAAAATCTGCTTTGAACCTTGTAATTGCCACCTTTTGGTGGCAACTCAATTTTTTTGAAGATTTAAGGGAATATTTGAAATGCGAAATGGAAAAAGATGGATGAAGACTAGGGCAGACAATAAGTACCTCACATATACTGGCTTCTGTTTTGCATTATCTAGAATTTCGAGAGGGAGGAGACAATTCACTTGATCTCTTCTTTCATTTTTTCTTGACTATAGAAACAACTGCCTTTCCTTCCACAGAAGATATGGAGTTATTGCATTTGTTTGGGTCAATAACTGAAGAAACAGCTGTTATTAAGTACCAGGCCAAATATCCATTATAAACAAGTAGGTAGAAATAAAGGAGCATCATGTAAGTGCATGCTTGTCACCATGGATACAAACACATGAATTGATGTTTCCAACTTATCTGGTATTTTTAATGGCTCTGGTTTTCTCTTTTCTCCATCCCTGTATGCCTTCCTCCCTGCTTCTTTCCATCCCTCTCACTTTTTAATTTATGAAAGAGAGAGACATGAGCAGGAAATGCAGGGATTATACTTTCTAATAATATGGAATAATCTAACAGTAAAACCTATAGACTCCCCATGCCAAAGAGAGTCCCAGAGCTCTGCCTGGCTCTGGTGATATGCTTAGCAGGATGTGTGCCCAGCTCATTCTTTTTGCTGACACATTAAATTCTCAGTGGTCCTTCACAGGCTGAGTGAAATGGAGCTAAGCCTCAGCGCCATGCAGATGAGCAGTTTGGGAACCTGAGCAGTTGAGTTTCCTAGTCTAAAGCAAGTGTAACTGTCTTCTTTGTTTCACATCTTTGGTGCATATCTTAACATCAGAAGACCTTTTGCAAAATGAGTTGCGTTTGTTTTTTAACTGGCTTGACACTAAGCTTCTAAAAATGAGAGCCCCATCAGAAATCTGTGTCCCTCACAGTGTGCTTCCCAGAGATTAGATAAATGTAGCAGTTCCACAGACATAGAATGATAAGGAAAGAAAAAAATATGGGAAAAACGCAAGAAATTAGAGTCAGAAGACAATGTACAACACTCAACAGAGAAAGATGATAGTCTATGAAGGAAGAATGACTGAGTCCTTGGACTCAGGGTCCAGTGCAGAGAAATATTTTGTTAGAGATGCTGGCTTTAGTTCTTCTTTGTGTTTCCTATCCTGTCCTTCTCCCTTTCTCTTTTTCAGGATCTATAATCCCACAGTGAGTAGAACACTGGACAACAGCTCAGCAGGACAGGTCTGCTCCTGAATGAATAGGACTGCACAGCCCTGGAGCGTAGAAAGCAACTCCCAGAGATGGGGTCTGCGATCCTGATAGAGACCCTAGGGTGACGGCACTGCACAATCCCTGAACCCAATTCCAGGAAACTGGCACTGTGCACCTCTCACTTCTGTGCCTTTTGCTCTTCCAGTTTGAGCCTTCCACTGAGGGCCCTTTGATAGTAATGAAATGAGCTCTGGTTTATTAAAGAACCACCCAGTTAGCCCACTAAGGCCTTTCATGAACACAAAAAGGATGAAAGTTTTCCTTCCAACACTTTTAAACATTGCTCATGGAGAATACTTTTCTCCTCTCATTCCTTTCCAGAGGGACCCGAGCCCAGACATGTATTGTTCCTGTGTCTGGGAGACATTCTCAGAAGCAGGAATTCCTGTAGATCCATGTCCTAAAGGACTCCTACGAAATGATGCAACTCAGACAATAAGAGTGAGCCTGAGGGGAGCCCTTCATTCTTAGCAGAGACAGTGCAGACCAGTCTCATTCTTTTCTTGTGTGTTTTAATCTAGCTTTGATTATCTAACCCTTTCGTCTCATTTTTTCCCATTAGGTCCCTTCATGCTCTTTTGTTTGTTTTTATAGGCTCCTGCTTTCTTCTATTATACTGTTGTCCCAATAAAATGTTTTACCTCTCCTTCTGTCTCTTGCTTGCCTAGTTCTCATGAGATTCACGCAGCCTGATTTTGTTAGTCCTCTTTTCCATCAAGAGAAAACAGTTCTAGGAGCCAAGGAAGGCAGGAATAGGACCATTCCCTTTGATTAGGTTAACCCATTGTGGAAGCATGATGAGTCCTGGTCTTTTCTTATTTCTGAATAGCACTCTAACAGCTCCATTACCTCCATGAGCAGGAAGACGTTTGCTTGGAAAGCATCAGGGCCCAGCTAAAAGCTTACCAATCCAATAAAAGCCTCAATGGTTCTGGCCCTCACTCTCTCTACCCACCCCTTGTTTGTGAAGTGCCTGACACAGAAGTAAATGACCTTCATTAGATTAATACGTCTTCAACTGGCTTATTCCAATTTCTGTGGATCTAAGTGCTTGGCTAATGACTGGGATAGTGGACAGATTTTAAGTTTGCCTTGTGTCACAGAAGGTGCATTTCCATGATAGAGACTGTGACTGGAGAACAAATGTGAGGCAGTCTTTCCATGGTAAGTGTCACATTCACCTTTCTGTAGTATTTTGAAATTTATAATAGCTGAGAACTAATAAGGGACATATTACTCTTATTCTTGTAAGAAGAGACATACTGACATTCAGATCCCTCCAAATGAAGTACCCCTGTCTTTCTTCCCCTTGGCTCCCTGCTGCTGCCATTCTGCCTGCCTCCTTTATTCTCTTTCTTTTTCCTTTCTCTCTCAATACCATTATCAATCCAAATCTCCAAAGTCATTTTCAAGTAATCTCCTATGTAGGAGGGATGGAGGACCATTGCCTCAATCTTTAACCCCTTCATGCCAAACCTGGTGCTCATAGAAAGAGCCAACAGATGAGTGGGAACTCCTGCTCCTTGTGGTACTGTAGGGTCTCTTTTCAGTAACTGAGGCTAGTGCTATAAAAGATATCAAAGGGAATTAGACTGATAAGCCCAGACCAGTTGAAAAAGTACTGTAGTCTCTAGGAAGGTGAGACTGGCTTGGAGTTAGTTATGGATCTACAATAAATGGGTGCAGCAGGAGGGGAAGACTTGAATAGATCCGAGACAGAATACTGATACTGAAATAAATGACTCTCAAGAAAGGACACAAGAAAATGGATGAAGAGCAAGATGGAGAGAAGAACTGCTGAATCCTAAAAAGCATCATGTCTTGGGTTTTCCCAGTGAGCCACAGTGCTCCTCCTGCCTCTTTGTCTCCTTCAGCACCACCTTCCTGGCAGCCTCTCAGCATTCCATTTCAAACAACTTCATAGGAACCGATCCCCTACAGCTCTGAAGGATTCTACAGCTTCACCCAAGAGTTCTTTGAATGAGAAGTCTTTTTTTGGTAGCTCTCTCTGCTTAAACCCAGAGGTTACTTTGTTCTGATCCTTGTTTTCCGTGTCCATTACTGTGCCCTCAATGTAACCCCCAATCCAGGCTTTATTCATACTCTAGTGGCAATGCCGTGATTACTGCTGACAACTTTTCCTGTCGAATACATGTTTAACATGATCGGCACAGTATTAAAAAAGATGCTTGACAAGTATGATGGAAATAAACTTGAGGCCCTTACATCTGACCAATTCTAATCTCTCAGCCACCTCTATTTCTCCCTTACTGGTTTTTTCTCAGGTCCTCAATTGTCTTTGATAGTTAGCTCCTGTCAGCTTTGTGTCTTTTTCAGCCTTCTGTATGTGACCAAAAGTGAAGGCAGAGAGGGGCTGGATCCCAGTGTCCTGCAGGGTCCACACTAGAGCCACACGGGAGACTGGATAGGAGAGGGAAGCCTCACAGTGTCAACTAGGATTCATGTGAGGACAAGAGCATTAATTCTGAGCTATGGGGTCTCCACTAGCAGAAGTGTGCAGACCCCAGAAAAAGAGAGGGATGAAGAAACTAAGCTTCCTTGTTCGATATTTTTCCTCTACTCAATCCTAGCCACAGATTTTGATACTGGACACTTCTTGCCTTTCTTTCTTTTAGTTTTTATTTCTTATAGCATATATTTATTTCCTGTATTTTTGAGTTATTATAGATTTTTTCTTACAGTTTTATTTTTTCAGTATCACTTTATTAAGCAAAAAGATATATTTAAACCATAAAACATTACAAAAATAAATACAAGTAGGTGATTTCCAATTGTCTCTTAATGCTCTTATTTTTCCCTCCCTAAATAAAGCAATAGTGCACCAGTTGCATATTTGGTAGGCACTGACAGGACTGCTCTAAGTAAATACATGAAAAAAAGAGCAAAGATTTAGAATTAATTAGGTATTTAGAAGCAAGTGAACTGTGCCTTAGCTGGTTCCAAAGACTGCAGATACGGAAAACAGCACAATGACTTAGGTTCATTGTATGTTTTGATTGTGAGGAAAGCCAGAAGCCAGAGCCCAGCGCAGAGGGTTGGTTCCTGTGTGTGTGTGTGTGTGTGTGTGTGTGTGTGTGTGTGTGTGTGTATTCTCCATTCTCTATCACTTGATCTTAGATCTGTTTGTATAGACAATGTAACTTTGAGGAAGAAGACAATGATTTTAGTTTTGAGTTCATAGGAAGCTGATCACTTTACATAAACAGCTGAAAGGTTCTAAGACATTTTTGTATCACTTGAAAACTGAAGATGACCACAGTATCCTTCTGGGAGAATCAAAGGATTCTTTCTTATGTATATTTGTCTATATTTCTACTAATGTGCTTCTACAGGACATCTGCTGAGTCAGACGATGGCATATTTAAATGACTTAGTATTTCCGATTAATACATTCTTGAGATTTTTTCTTTTTTCTCAACCCATGGTGTAGCCCGCTTGAATTTACTCCTACAGCAGGTAATTGAAGAATGCTTTGTATCCAAGGAAACTGATTCTAGGACTTTGTAACAAAAATAAGAAGTGCTTATCCTGAGACGTTTTCTTCTAGAAACTTTCTCAATAACTTTGCTGTTGCCATTTCTCTTGAATGAAAATTAGTCAATCAGGAACCGAATTCTATGTACATCTGTTTTCTGTTTTGCTATACTATTAGGTAACTCAACACTGGAATAAAAAAAAATCATGTAGTTTGAGCTTTAAAGAATGAAAGTTTGAGTTACATTGAAGGGGAACACATATTTTCTTTATAGCCAAAAGTTGTCAGCTCCTCAGAGAGCACTCGGTGCAGGAATTTCTAAGTAATTTACTGGGGAATTGGAAAAACCTTGATGGTGTCCTTAGGGCTCCTGGCAGAGTACCCCCTCATGTAGCACATTGGGAGAGCAACATTGCTATAAAATTATTCAGTTAGTTACTTTTCACTTTGCTGTCATTAAATGCATCTTTTATTCTCTTTTTAGAGAAGTGATTTGTGTTACTTTACTCATTTGGGGCATCCAATAAAGATAGTTATATAGTCTTGGGATTTCATTGTATAGCAAATGAAAAGTGAGGAGGCTCAGGAAAGAACTTTTCATTCACAAATATTAAAGAGCTGCATTGAAATATGATCCCAGTAGGACTGAGGATAAACTAGCCCTCAATTACTATGCATGCACAATTATCATTAAGGAAATGTCACTGAGTTTTAAGATGATTTAAAAGCATTAGATCTCTCAGGATATGACAAAACAGTAGGTGTTTGGGGGACATAACTCACTTGAAATATCTGAAGCAGTCTTTATTGTTTTGAGGAAAGAATTGAAAATAAAATAGAAAAGAAAACATTGAAGCCTGGGATAAGTTAAGGGAGGTGTAGGTTTAAAACACTTGGCAAAATAGATGTATATAAAAGGAATTCAGATTAGCAACCAGAGATAGGAACAGAAAATTTGGAATATTTTCTACTTTAAAAGAATTCTAATTTGTTTTTTCTATTTGAAAAGGTCGGAACAGAGAATAAAATAAAAGGGCAGGAGAAGCAAAGAGAAGGAAAAAACACAATAGTGGAAAGTCTGAGGAATAAGTTGGGAAACTATGTACCATATTTGCACAAAGAATGAAAGAAACGTTTAGGAACAAACATGATTGATATTCTGTTTTTTGTACATTCATATATGAATTTTACTGCCTTCTTAAGTAAACAAACAAATATCAAGTATGCTTTGTTTTCTGTTTACTTGTATGTGGCATTTTAAAATTTTATGTATACTTATTATTTATGCTCAAAACATAAAAAGTGTATACATCTATGGACAGTAGGTGAGTAAGCACAATACATGCCTGTAATATGTAACATTTAAATCAGAGTAAACGTATCTCCTTAACATTTACCATTTTTTGTGGTGAAAATAATCAAGATCCTTTCTTTTAGCTTTGTGAAATTTACAATATGTTAGCATTATTTAGTCATTCTCCTATGCAGCATAACACCAATTTTATTTCTGACTATAACATTGTTTTCCTTGAATTTGAAGAACATTAATAGTAAATTCTGGTTCTGAGCTCTTCAGGGTGGTTAAAACAGTATGAGACAAGAATATTTGCTATCTAATGATAAAAGAAGCTATAAGGAGAGTGATTTCATCAGAAACAGAGCAGAACACTAGTTAATACCTGAAGACAAACACATAAAGATTTCAAGACACATGACAGAGAACTCTTGGAAGTGGAAACACCTTCCACAGAAGATTTCTAGTTAAGAAGGATCCATACAAACTGCCCACTACCCAGTATCCTCAGATTCAGATTTAACTTTATGTAGCATAAATATCTGGCATGTTTAAAGTAAGAAAATACAACAGTTGTCAACTATAAGACATAGAAACTTAAACCTTATAAGAACACATTTCATGGCTCAGAAACCCTTGTTCCTTTATGTGTGCCTGTTTTTTAGTGAAAATCTACTGGAAAATGATAAACTGTCTTACTTGTCTTGAGTGTAAAGGCGAAGATGCCGTCTGCCTTTACAGTAGAACGAAAAATTGCAAAGCATGATGAAAGTTAAGGGAATGGGGAGAGGAAAGAGAGAGAGAATGGGAAAGGGAGGAGAAGGAGAAAAAGAAGAAGGAGGAGGAAGAGGGGGAG